AAATATATGCATGTTTTATATAGGCATTATATGAAGATTTACTTCTCTACTTGTTTTTTAATCTCAAAGTTGCATATGATTGGTGAAGGAAGCCGCGGAGCGATACTAATGACTCTAGCAAAAATCCTTTACACCAGCAGTAAGTATTTTTCTTTTTTTTGGAAGAGGTCACTCATTGATTTATAGATATTAATATAGAGTTATAAAGCAAAAATTTCATATTCAGTTTATACAAATATATGCATGTTTTATGTAGGCATTATATGAAGATTTACTTCTCTACTTGTTTTTTAATCTCAAAGTTGCATATGATTGGTGAAGGAAGCCGCGGAGCGATACTGGAAATGACTCTAGCAAAAATCCTTTACACCAGCAGTAAGTATTTTTCTTTTTTTTGGAAGAGGTCACTCATTGATTTATAATCAAGAGACTTATAAAAGACTTAATTCTATCACTTGCTACATGGTGTAACATAAAGCACAATAGTTAAGCTTTTTGCCTTAGTTTTGAAATTCCTAATGAGTAGGATTATGAACATAAATAAAATTAGTATTTGAGGAAGCCCTCTATCATTATCCTCCCCTTACTAGCTACGTGTGCTTAGGCACATCACTCAACCTCTCTGTTTCTTTATCTGTGAAACAAGGATGCTAATGGTACCGACCTGCTGGGATGGTTGTAGGATTATGAGAGTTAACACAGGTAAAGCAGTCCGCAGTGTCTCGCACACAGCACCCAGCAAAGGGCTTGCTGCTGCTCCTGCTGCCATCGTCGTTATCATACCAATAAAGCAATATATTTAAGTAGTCACTTTAAGGAGTTATAATATTTTGCAACATCAGACTTTAAGTGTATGTGAAATATTTATCCTAAATGTTATCTCAACTATTGATGTGGTGTTGCAATATTTACGTTATATATGGAAAAATTATTAACTGTAAAGATCAAATCTTAAAAAAAAAATAATTTATAAAATTTCAATAGCAATGGTATTTAGGCAGGTTGTAGCACTTTATCATCATTTATTCAAACAAAAGCGTTTATTGAGCACCTACTGTGTGCCAGGCACCATTTTAAGTGCTAGGGATACAGCAGCGAATAAAACAAAGGTCCTGCCTTCATCAAGCCTATATTTTAGTGAAAGTGACTAGGCAGTAAGCAGATAAACAAGAAAACGAATAGTTTGTCAAATGGTGATAAATTCTGTGAAACTTAAAGCAAGAGAAGAGAGAAGAATAATCACCTACTTGTCAAATCCAGTGCATATTGACCGTCCGTGTTTTAATTTTTCTTCAACATTTGACTGCTTATTGTGCTTTTTTCCTTTGGGTAATGGAGCATCCTTCTCTTTTGGCTTTCCTACTGTCTCTCCGTAGAAGGATCCTGTCTTAGCATAGAGAGAGAGAGCACATGATAATGGCTGAGAACAGACTCCGGAGCTAGAGTCAAAGCTTGGCTCACTTTTACTGGATATATGACCTTGAGCAAATTTCATCAACTGTGCCTCTGTTTTCTAGGTGTCAATATAGGTGATAGTCATAGAACTTTCCTCACTGAATTGCTGCAAAGATGGCATGAATTAATCTTTGTGAAACATCTGGCATAGTACCTGGCATAGTACCGCCTAATGGACACGTGTACTGTTGTTCTGTAATTATTGTCTTCCTACCACCAGTGCCTTACACTTGGTGGGTATTTGAATAAAATGAATCTCTTTAGTTTTCCTTCTTGTTTTTCTCCTGTGACACCTCTTTCTAAGCTTGTTCATATGGACATTGGTGTTCCCATAGATCATCTCAGTTTCTTCCCTTGTCTCCTACGGCTTCTGCTAATTCTCATCCGTACTTATGACTTCAAGTACTTCCCGTGTGCTGACGGCTCCCAATCTGTATTTCCAGCTCTTCTAAGTAATATCATCTGCCAGCCAGACATTGAGGCTTGAATACTCTATGAAACAGCTAAGCCTAACCAAGGCTTCATCTGAGCCTAATTTGTTTCCTTCCGTCTGAATTCCTAGCCACCACTCACCAGCCAGCCAGCCAAGCCAGAATCTTACTCTCACACATTCTATCAGCAACCAGATCCTGTCTGGTTTCCCTCATAAAGATATTTATTCCTGTCCCTCTTTGCTCCTAAATCTTTAGTTCAGTACCTCTTCCTTTCTTAAGGTGGGTTGCCACAGATATCACCAAGCTCTTCTGTCTTACTTTGGTCTTGATCACTGCCCTTTGTCCACCAAATCCATCTTCTCTACTGCAAGTAGAATGGTCTTTCCCAAGTTGAAATCCAATGAGTTTATTTTACCATTTACCGCCTTTTAATAGCTCCCCTTTGCCTTCTGTACAAATCCCGAAGTGCTTAGCATGGTCTCTCTTCATTTGGCCGCATGCTCCCCTCTTCAGCTTCATGGCCTGCCCTTGTGCACTGTAAGGGACAGCACTTACTCCTCTTCTAGGTGGCATCTTGAATGGCCATTTCAGGACAGAAGATAGCAGCAATGATGAAACATATCCTAAGACGCCTTTCTTGGTTTTGATTTAATAACTAAGTCTATAGGAAGCAGTCATTTTGTACTGCCCAGGAATTCACGCGGCTTCATGAGCTTCGTTCCACTTTTATTTAAAAAAAAAAAGATTAGCCTGACAGCAAGATCTCTTAAAAGACTTCAGGGACTTTTCATGGGGCAAGAGTTTGGGACTCACTGTGGAATGTATCTCATAATTGCTCATACAGATGATCCAGGTAGATAGCCATAAGCATATTTATACTCGTTTTTGTTTAGAAGTTTTAATAAATATCCTTTTTGCCAATTTTATAAACTGAAAATTTGTTTGAAATTTTATGAACTTCTACGTAGCACCTTTCAGAATGCCTGAAAAATTTCATTCTTTGATTGCCAAATTTATATTCCAGTAATATATTTGTATTTTTCTTACTTACAACGCTCTCTCCTACCTCCCCTTCCCCAAATCACTCAGGAAGAAGTCAGAGCACAAAAAGCTTGCTGAAATTACTTATGATATACTAAATAACACATTTTCCTTAATACTTTGGGGTTTGTTTTTTTTTTTTCTTAGAAACAACTCAAATTATTGGTATGAGTGCAACACTAAACAATGTTGAAGACCTACAAGAGTTCCTTCAAGCAGAATATTACACCAGTCAATTTAGACCAGTATGTACCTAAGGTTTGCACTGTATTGATTTGTTTTATATTCATCTTACTTAGAAACAAAAGTAGTAAACATGTAAAAAAATTCTATGGAGTAGTGAAGGGGCATAATTTTACTCACCATGGCGCTATGCAAAGAGTTTGTATATAGGTCAGGGATTTTGGCTTGGGTCACTAAGGTATACTATCGGTAGCACTGGGAACAGTGCCTGCCTTTGGCCCTCAGTGAACATTGATTAACTGAATTTTTCCAGACCCATTCTGGTTTTTTTCACTTCTAATTCTCTAAAGTAAATTTTTTCATTTGGCCAAAATTTAGTGAGACATGGTTTGAGTTATTGGCACACTAAAAATTTTTATTTTAAAAGTTAAAAAATTTTCAAATACTTATGCTTCGGAACTTATAATACCTTTTTAATAAGTTAAGACTTCACATGGATTTAAACTCCTCCACGACAGCATTCCCAGAATGCTTGAAGAAAGCACACAAATGTA